ACGAAAATACTGAAGTTACTAGGACACTATAGTTCGCAACTCTCTTTCCCTCTCCGTCTACAAGAGATCATAGCACAGCATTCAGCTCTACACTATCGACTGTTCTGTCATGAGCGACGAATGGGAGAAAGAGAGGAAGCTGGTGCTAAACTTCATCAGAAATATTGGGAACAAATTCACTATTGTGTTTGTTAAGAGCTGAATTTAATTTTTTCATTTGAGCCTTAAATTTACCTTTCTTCCACTAATGCGTTGCCTTGTAAAATAACAGAGATGATTTCATTTTCTTTTTGACGAAATATCCCGTGACTTCGGTCGAATTCTATACTTCGGTGGTTTTTATACTTCCTTGGGTAAATTTTATGTTTCGGTGAGTATTTTTCACTTTTTGTTCGTACTGTGGACGATTGTATTGTATCAGATGAGTGATTTGTAAGACATTGTATAATGACAAAATAAATTTGCATGAATTATCGAATCTAAGTTACGTGACTGTAGCTTTAGTTCGTGTAGGTAAGTATGAAAGAAATTCTAATCTGATATATCGCTGATCTTGTTTAATAAGTAACAGGCGTCACGGGCCAGGAATTGGTACCCACCATAATCAAAATGACTACTCATGGAGATTTTGAAAGAATGGTTCACTTGCATTGTTGAAATTCCCAGCACAGATTGGGGACATGCGGTTTGTAAATGGGAATTACATTCCCATTTCTCTTGTAACTGTTATTTAATAATTTTAGACTTGTCCTAACCCCCACCCTCTCTAGGGTTGTAAAATCTAACCTCTGAGGTTAAGGCATTGTAAACCTATTTTTTCACTCTTCTCACTTAACATCTGTGGCCCTGATCCTAAAATCCCAGTTCTCTTTCCAGTAATCTAATTCCCCTTTGTCCCCACTATTTGGTTGATCTCAACTCCTCCTTTCCTCCCTCCTAAATAACTGGTGAACAAATTGGATCTTTCCTTTAAAAGGGAGGGCCAATGAGCGTGCAGTAATCGGCACTGCCCACCGCCGCCATTCGCGCTTCTATAGCATGGAGTCATTACTCACTCGAGCTAGGGCGCCGCGT